TATCCTTACAGCTTAATATTAATCTATATTTAACATTATTAACACTTTTTTCAAGATGCGTATCAATAAAATATTTGAAACAATTATTTAAAATATCTGAAATAATTTTAGCTGAGGCATTAGGGAATAGAAGGTTTGAAGATTCTGTATACTTTTTTAACTCAATTTGAGTATTTTCAAGAGAATAATCATTGTCTATATTGCATAAATTATTTCTGCAGCTTTCATGTGGTAACGTGCTACAAACCCACCCCAAAACATAAACTTCAGAGCTTTTTTCAGCCATATCACAAATGCAAGCATTATTATCATTACTTAACTGATTATTTGTAGAAGACTGGACTGGTATTTTGATTTTAACGTTTTTCATTATTTCCTGCCTTAGTAAAAAAAATGTTGAAGCTTCTATTTCGCTGTTGCTATCTGCAGATGGCTGCAGAAATTGATTGGCCGTAATTGAACGTAAACTGCAGCGGAATTTCACACTATCAGGTGTGACATTGTTACCATTTTTAGATCTGATTATGGAAAATAAGTTTTCATTACCTGATTCTTTCCTGGCATTATATAAACTGTCAAGGCATTATAAATAAAACCTAAACGATTATGTCTAATTTTATACAAGTACTATCTATAGTGCCTTGGAATTTAGGCTATTTGTTAAATTTTATATATTGACTAGGTATTTTGTAAAATGTCAATATTCCACATTTTGCCGGTAACATATACAGGGTGTTAATAAATAAACTTTACACACACTGGCAGGTGATAGTAGAGATAAAAACAAGAAAAAAATCCTAATACACATAGGTCCAATACTCATTGGTTTTCGAGATATGGAATTTTTAAATTTTCATTGTCAGCTTTAAATTTGAATGCGATATCGCGTTACCATTAACGCGATAAAACAACAGCCGCAGAAACTGCATGTCAATAAACATTTTGTGACTTATTCTTATTTAAGCTAGCTTATTTTCGCAATGGTTCAATTTACATTTGCGGAATACGCCGATATGCATTTATGTTATGGCGAAGCTCGTCGAAATTCGCGTGAAGCTAGACGAATTTACCAGCAGAGATATCCTACGAGGCATATTCCATCTCATCCAACCTTTCAAGAAGTCGACCGTAGGATCAGAGAAACAGGATGCTTTAAGCCGCCAAAATCAGACACTGGCAAACCTCGTACAGTCCGCACGCCAAACACCGAAGATAATATTTTGCAAGCTGTAGATAATAATCCCCACGTGAGTACCAGGCGAATAAGTAGAGCTATCGGCGTAAATCCTGTATCTGTTTGGCAGACCCTTAAAGAACAATTACTTCATCCGTATCACTTACAGAAGATTCATCATCTACGGTTAGAGACGGACTGCCGTCCCCGTATCCAATTTTGCCAATGGCTGATACATGAATGTAATTTAAATCCAGATTTGCTTGGGAAGATTTTGTTTACAGACGAAGCCTGTTTTACGCGTGATGGAGTTTTTAATTTCCACAATATGCATGTTTGGTCTGATGAAAATCCGCACGCAACTCATGTTAGAAACCATCAATTTGGATTTTCGATAAATGTCTGGTCCGGCATTGTGGGTGATTTTTTAATTGGACCATTTCGTTTACCGAATCGGTTAAATGGTCAAATCTACTTGAACTTTCTGCGTGACAATTTAAACGAGTTACTGGAAGATGTGCCATTAGACGTTATTAGAAACATGTATTTTATGCATGATGGAGCCCCAGCCCACTATTCGCTAAACGTAAGAAACTATTTAAACGAACGATTCGAAAACAGATGGATTGGTCGTGGAGGACCTGTCGCGTGGCCACCAAGATCTCCTGATCTAACGCCAATGGATTTTTTTGTTTGGGGACATTTAAAAGGTATTGTTTATGCCACGGAAGTTTATACAGAAGATGAACTTTGGCAGAGAATAGTAGTCGGTTGCCAGCAACTAAGAAATCAAACTGCTTTCAATCGAGTGCGTAATTCTCTTCGACAACGAGTGCAACTTTGTTTACAAGAGGAAGGACGACAGTTTGAAAATCTTCCGCGATAACGAGTGTGCTAAATGCGTTGCGTGTTGTAATATTTTTTTTTGTAAAAACCGTATCTCGGAAAATAAATGAGTATTGGACCTATGTGTGTTAGGATTTTTTTCTGCATATCGGCGTATTCCGCAAATGTAAATTGAAACATTGCGAAAATAAGCTAGCTTAAATAAGAATAAGTCACAAAATGTTTATTGACATGCAGTTTCTGCGGCTGTTGTTTTATCGCGTTAATGGTAACGCGATATCGCATTAATGGTAACGCGATATCGCATTCAAATTTAAAGCTGACAATGAAAATTTAAAAATTCCATATCTCGAAAACCAATGAGTATTGGACCTATGTGTATTAGGATTTTTTTCTTGTTTTTATCTCTACTATCACCTGCCAGCGTGTGTAAAGTTTGTTTATTAACACCCTGTATATTAATAAATATAAATAAATTTATGCATAATAAAAACTAAATTTTTTCTAATAAGGCCAATTTTTTCTTTTTAATTTCTAACTTATATTTTAATACTTCGATTTCTAATTGGTGCCGTTCTCTCTGGTTAGCTATTTTTAAGTTGCACAGTTCTTTTTTTTTCAATATATTCGTTATAACTGCTATGTATTGCTTTATGTTCACCTAAACTATTTTTATTAACTCTCCTAATCTTACTGTATTATTTCAGCACCACCTTTTCGTTTGCCACTCTCTAAAACAATACTCTTTCTTTTTCTTAATTGTTTGGGAGTCCAAACGCTCCAATCGTTTTCTTTTTCATTTCTATTTACTTCCTCCTCTGCAGTGGGTGCGTTTATTTGCGATTCTGAATCAATAAATAATTCTTTGCCGGCCTATTCACAACTAGCACCTGCCGATGCAGATGTTTGTTCTGTAAGAGACATATTAACACCTACATCAGCAAGTGCTACCGATATCTCCGACAAAAAGTTATTAACTGATTGTGAGTCAGAATCACAAATTGACCTCATTCCGTCTACACTCAATATAATCAAAGCGTCAAAGAACACAATCATATTAATGAACAAATTCCACATGAACAGATAACAGAGGCTATTCTATATTTATAGTTTAAACGTTAAAGGATAGGTACACTAAAATGTACCTTTAATTTTTTCGTCTATAGGTGTGAAGTGTATTTCGGAACAAGGACACCACTCTCATTTGCCGCTGCTTGATTTCCGCACATTTTCTACGTACCGTTTTTTTTAAACTCATATTTTGATCGTAATGATTTTGTATCTCTTGATACACCCATTGTAGCGCTTATCGTCGCCGCTATCTCCTCCCACACCTGCTTAAAATAAGTCGCCGTAAAGTTTGAAATTGAAAATTGTGTTTTATACTACACTTACATTTTGCTTCTTTCCAGGTGACGGTTTCACTTTTTTGTTCTCTATAATATTTTTTCGATCAGAGATCAATTCAATCAATAAATAATAAATTTTTTGCCGCCTTAAGTTGATTCCATTTTCTGTTCGTTTTGTAATCACGACAATGACAATCGCTAAAGCTGCGTTACGGAGCGTGAAAACGAACGTGTATCACGCTTTCGTACTTGCTTTCGTGTATGTGCTGGAAGGACCCTACCAGTCGTGGAGCGTGGACCGTTCACACTGACTTTCGTATTAACGAAAACGTGATTCACTTGATCGCGGAAAGTCGACCATGAACGAGCTGCTTATCGAGACTTGTGCTGTGGTCAATTCGGTTTTTGGTGCTATCTTAGCACAAAGAATAAATCGGTTGGCAAAATCGAAAGAAAAACGGAAGAAAAGANCGCCACTGTACTCATTACGTGTGACCTAGGCTTAACAGCTAGAATAACAGGAGGTGGTAAAAGTGGGCCTAAAGATGTTATTAAAGTATTTAAAGAGAATCGGTTATAATTTTGAATTCTTAATTAATAGAAAATAACTCAAACCAAATGTTTGAAATAATACAACATTTATGAAAATAATTATAAACTGTCCATTATGTCTTGGTAGATAATATGTTGGGACAATTTGTAAATCAGTGATGAGAGTGTTACAACACAAAAAATGTTATTCTTAGGGAGTTACATTTTATTATTATTTTTTTTACAGAAAAATGTATATTGTATATCACCAATAGTAATAGTATTTAAATTGGATTGCGACAAAGATATGTTTTAAATAGATTGCGAATATTTTCAGCAGATTCTTACTTTGGTTGTGCTTGTTTCCGGTTCTATTCTTTATATGTATCAATTTATTGTCTTTTATAAGGTTTCAATAGATTAGGGAGAAGTTGATAGGCTTCATCACCTATGATAACATGGGGTACAGTGATGTATATTCCATGAGTTTTGCAGGGTGTTTATAGTGGTGCCTTAAGTGTTTATAAAGGTGATTGTTATAATATAGTAACTTTCTATTATAAGCGGTTTGTAACTATGAACCATTATGGCTGTTAGGAACGAGAAAGCTAGAGTCATAGTAATTTGTAACACGAAGATAATGAATAAAGTAGTTTAAAGTTTATCTAACAAACTTACATCCTATAACATGGTGTCAGGTACCCCACACCTGACACAAAACCACCAAGACAAAACCTTAGTTTATTATTTTTCTGTACAATTAAAATATTGCTTACCCATTCGATATGTTCATTTACTTTTTCTATGATTTTGTTTTTTATAAGATTATTTAATTTCTTTTAATTAATCTCGGAGATGTATCGGTACGTCTTTGTATTTTTCTATAATCGTGTGTGCTTCACTTTCTAATTTTTCAATGGCACCAGACATGAAAGTTATTTGGGGGTCGAGCAAAGCTTTTTTGTTTGATGATGATGGCTGGGACACAGTCGAAGGCATTTGTCGTTTAACTGTTTTTCTGGGTGCCTCAGTTCCTGCTGTGATTTGTGGCGTGGATGACACTTTCTCGTTGAGATAGTCAACAGAACTTTGATGTTGAGATGGTGATTGTGACTCGTCCAGTTTTGACTGTTCCTGTTGAGATTCCTCAGTTGCCGTTGTTGGTAATAGCTACAGTAAAAACATTAATTAGTAATTTATTTCAGGTGCCGGCAACTTCAGATGAATGGAAAAACGTTGAATCTGGATTTAGGCAACGATGGAATTTCCCAGGATGTGTAGGAGCTTTGGACGGCAAACACATTGTAATACGTGCCCCTACCGCTACTGGATCCGATTATTACAATTACAAAAATAGTTTCAGTATTGTATTAATGGCTTTAGCCGACTCCGATTATTGCTTTCTGTATGTTGATGTTGGCGCTAAAGGAAGAGGTTCTGACGGAGGCATCTTCCAAAACAGCTCGTTATACAAAGCTTTCGAAACAAACTACTTTGCAATGCCAAATGACTTTTTGATTGTTGGAGATGATGCGTTTCCCTTAAAAACGTATTTGATGAAACCGTATAGTCGGCGTAACATGTCCTAAGAAGAAAGAATTTATAACTATCGACTTTCAACGGCACGAAGAGTAGTAGAAAATACTTTCGGCATACTTGTGAGTAAATTCACAGTGTTTGAAAAAGCGATATCTCTAAAATTACAATCGGTGGAGAAAATAGTACTCGCCTGCTGCACTTTGCACAATTGGTTGAGGAAAACAAATC